TTTACTTAAAAAATGTTTGTGATTGTTACTTACCATTGGACGTAAAATATTGTTTCCAAATCTGGCGTGATACCGTGTAAAAAAGAAATAACAGAGAACAAGGATACTAGAACAAATACCTATAATGTGCACTATTGAAAATATACCGTTCGGACGACTGGTTCCACATTTCTAAGTAATTACAGCACATTATTCAATAAGTTTTCATCTCAACACATATAACCACAGTTCAGTGACAGTGACTCCACTCTCCAACCACTTGCTGATAAAACAGCCAGTGATCTGCCGGTACGCTCTCTGACGGAATGACAGTTGTAATTTTATATAAAAAACATAATGATATGATGAGGTTTGTGTATTAAAGAATGTGGAATTTTTCTAAATCAATACTGTTACATATATTTCAAAATTAAAATGGTACATTTAGAAAATAAAATAATTTTCTTGTGGTAACATGAAAAAATTAATATCCTACAACATAAAGAAAAATTAATGTTGCAATATCAAACCTAAATTATCAAAAATGTTTCAATCCCTTCCCAAAATACCTGACAGTTTTATTCGGTTTAACTGATAAACTTGGGTATTTACATTAGTTTATGTTAGATTACAAAAGAAATCAACAAATTTATTCTTACAAAATCAAAATTTTTGAAATTTGGTTACACAGTACATCAATTAATGTCTTAACAGTTATAACTACATGTGTATTAATTAGAACAGTTTAACGGATTGTGACATATATACTTCAACACATAGATATTTAGTAGTATCACTTTTACTTGAAAAATGTTTGTGATTGTTACTTACCATTGGACGTAAAATATTGTTTCCAACTCTGGCGTGATACCGTGTAAAAAAGGAATAAGAGAGAACAAGGATACTAGAACAAATACCCTTCCTCACTGTTATACCAGTTTTAGAACAGAGAATGAACAATCGCAAAATAGTCACTCAGTTAAAAAGCATTATTATTGCAGTTCTCATTTTTTATGGGAGAGTATATTGTTTTCAATTGCTTATATTACATAATATTTGCGAGATGACAGTCCTATAATTTGCACTATTGAAAATATACTGTTGGTAGGGATGGTTCCACATTTCTTGGTTATTACAGCCCATTATTCAATACGATTTCACCTCAAAACCAGTAACCACAAAGGGTTCAATGACAGTGACTCCATTCTTCAACCACTTGCTGATAAAACAGCTAGTGATCTACAGGTACGCTCTCTGGTGGAATGACAGTTGTAATTTTATGTAATAAAACATAATGATATGGTGAAGTTTATGTATTGCAGAAGGTTGAATATTTCTAAATCTATACTATTCCAAATATTTCAAAATTATATATCCTAAAACGAAAATAAAAATTAGTGTTGCAATATCAAACTTGAATCATGATAAATGTTTCATTCCCTTCCCAAAATTCATATCAGTTTTATTCGCGATAACTGATAAACTCGGATATTTACATTAGTTTATGTTAGAATACAAAAGAAATGAACAAATTGATTCTTACAAAAACAAAATTTTTGAAATTTGGTAACACACATTATATCAATTAATGTCTTAACAGTTATAACTACATGTGTATTCATTAGAAGAGTTTAACGGATTGTGTCATATATACTTCAACACATAGATATTTAGTAGTATCACCTTTAATTAAAAAATGTTTGTGATCGTTACTTACCATTGGACGTAAAATATTGTTTCCAACTCTGGCGTGATACCGTCTAAAAAAGTAATAACAGAGAACAAGGATACTAGAACAAATACCCTTCCTCAAGGTTATAACAATTTTAGAACAGAGAATGAACAATCGATAAATAATCACTCAGTTAAAATGCATTATTATTGCAGTTCTCATTTTTTATGGGATGGTATATTGTTTTCAATTGCTTATATTACATAATATTTGCGAGATGACAGTCCTATAATTTGCACTATTGAAAATATACCGTTCGGACGACTGGTTCCAGATTTATAAGTAATTACAGCATATTATTCAATAAGTTATGTAATACAATAATTGACAAGTATCTTTTTTTTCGATATATCCAATTTGAAGCCTCGGTGGAATCGAGCGATGAGAGTAACCAAAGTATGCTTGTTATTACTGCAAATTTATTTCATTTATCAATCTTTTTAAATCTAGGTAAAATATCTACAAAACTTTATAAAACTAAGGATATATCAAAAGTTTAAAAAACATTGGAAAAGTATCTTTTTTGACGTTTTATCCTAATGAAGCGTTGGTTGATACCAGAGTTGCGAGTTGGCGAAATTGGCATGTTTATGCATCAAATTAATTTCTTGTATCAACCTTTCTAAAATTTGTTCAAAATATCCACAAACGCTTTACAAAACTAAGGAAAGATGAAAAGTATAAGAAACATTTGAAAAGTAACTTTTTTTTCGTTTTATCCGAAGTGAAGTCTCGGTTGAGTTCAGAGTTGTGAGATAGCGATGTTTTCGTGTTGCTACTACAAAGTGCTTTCGGTTATCAATATTCTTCAAATGTGGGCTAAATATAAACAACAGTTTTATACAACGAAGCAAATACAAAAAGGCTAAAATAAACAATTGACAAGTATCTTTTTTTTCGATTTATCCAATTTGAAGCCTCGGTGTAATCGAGAGAAGCGAGTTGCCGAATTATGCTTTTTATTACTGCAAATTGATTTCATTTATCAATCTTTTTAAACCTAGGTAAAATATCTACAATATTTTATAAAACTAAGGATATATAAAAAGTTTAAAAAACATTGGAAAAGTATCTTTTTTGTCGTTTTATACTAATGAAGCGTTGGTTGATACGAGAGTTGCGAGTTAGCGAAATTGGCATGTTGATACATTAACTTGATTTCTTGTATCAACCTTTCTAAAATTTGGTCAAAATATCCACAAACGCTTTATAAAACTAAGGAAATATGAAAAGTATAAAAAAACATTTGAAAAGTATCTTTTTTTTCGGTTTATCCAAAGTGATATCTCGGTGAAGTCGAGAGTTGTGAGGTAGCGAAGTATTCCTGTTCCTACTGTAAATTAATTTCGGTTATCAATCTTCTTAAAATGTGGTCTAAATATAAAAAACAGTTTTATACAACGAAGCAAATACAAAAAGGCTAAAAAAACAATTGACAAATATCTTTTTTTTCGATTTATCCCATTTGAAGCCTCGGGGGAATCGAGAGATCCGAGTAACCAAAGTATGCTTGTTATTACTGCAATTGATTTCATTTATCAATGTTTTTAAAACTAGGTAAAATATCTACAAAAATTTATAAAACTACGGATATATCAAAAGTTTAATTAACATTGGAAAAGTATCTTTTTTTCGTTTTATCCTAATAAAGCGTTTGTTGCTCCTAGAGTTGCAAGTTGGCGAAATTGGCATGTTGATACATCAAATTGATTTCTTGTATCAAGCTTTCTAAAATTTGGTCAAAATATCCACAAACCCTTTCAAAAACTAAGGAAAGATGAAAAGTATAAAAAAAACATTTGAAAAGTATCTTTTTTACGGTTTATCCAACGTGATATCTGGGTGGAGTCGAGAGTTGTGAGGTAGCGAAGTATTCCTGTTCCTACTGTAAATTAATTTCGGTTATCAATCTTCTTAAAATGTGGTCTAAATATAAACAACAGTTTTATACAACGAAGCAAATACAAAAAGGCAAAAAAAAACAATTGACAAGTATCTTCTTTTCGATTTATCCAAGTTGAAGCCTCGGTGGAATCGAGCGATGCGAGTAACCGAATTATGCTTGTTATTACTGCAAATAGATTTCGTTTATCAATCTTTTTAAAACTAGGTAAAATATCTACAAAACTTTATAAAACTAAGGAAATATCAAACGTTTAAAAAACATTGGAAAAGTATCTTTTTTGTCGTTTTATCCTAATGAAGCGTTGGTTGATACGAGAGTTGCGAGTTGGCGAAATTGGCATCTTGATACATTTAATTGATTTCTTGTATCAAGCTTTCTAAAAATTGTTCAAGATATCCACAAACGCTTTATAAAACTAAGGAAATATGAATAGTTTAAAAAAACATTTGAAAAGTATCTTTTTTTTTGTAACCGGTGATGGGAAAAATTTATAAATTTAAAATGAATCAAATCTTGGTTTAAGTAGATTTAATAATTGTAAGTAGAATAATAAGAAGCAGTGTCGGCAAAAGGGGGACCTAGGTGCTATGTCAGCAACCCGGCCTCGGGTGAACGGAAACAATAGGGGTCAGTAGACGCGGAGCAGCCAGAGAGAACAGTTCTAAATAAAGATTTGTGTGATGTGGTGGACTCTCATCGTGGCAGTAATAATCGGTGAGTGCCTGTGTTGATAAGAGTTGTGGCGACAATCATTTCTTATTAAGACCCTAGTAATTCTATCCAGCTGCCCCTTTTGCCGACTTAATTACCTATAAGTAGCTCGTAAGAAGACGCTTAATTGTAAATCGCCTAGTGTCGAATAAAATAGCCTTAGAAATTAGCGCGACTCATTTAGCCCTGAATCACTCTTCCAGGATCCCGGGGTTACAATTTGGTGTCAGGTGTGGGGTGGAATGCAACAATTTCCACCTTACCCGCCCCCTGTACGTTCGTAAATAGTTCTGTTTTAAAATAAATTTTGACGAGTAAATAGATTCAGGATATTATAAAAAAAAAAAATTTGAATAAATAATCAATACCACTTGTAAAAGAGAAAGAAAAAAATATATAATTAGGTGTGTGAAACGAAAGATCGAGTTTCTTTACTACTTTTTCGAGGTCAGTTAGGGCTACCCGATAACAAAGACAAAAAAATAAATAAATAAATAAAAATAAATAACATAATAAATAAACATAATAAAATAAAGTAAGCTAAAAAAAAAAATATAGCCAAATTTAGTTTTCGACAGAGAATGCAAATAATTAGTTTATAGACGGAGCGGCAACGGATTGTATTCTTCTTTTAAGTATATTATATTCTAAGAAGTGGTAGAATAGAGGACCATGGAGACCATACAAGCTCAGATGGCTGCCTTAGCGAAGGAGATAGCCGTCTTAAAGCAAGATAATGCGACTCTCAGATCTGAGGGAGAGGCAAAGAAAATAGGCAAAGAAGACTTAGTGCCACGGAAAAAGAATCTGGCACTATTGTCCATCGTTCCAAGTTGGGCTGGCAACCCGGAAGACATCCGAGTTGGAAAATTCCTGGAAATTATAGATGATGTGGGGGCCAGTGGAGAGTGGGACGACATCGATAAGATACTGGCGTGCAAGACTCGAGTCAAAGGAGAGGCGGCAGCATGTATAGAGAGCTACCCCAGTCTGAAAACGGGCTCTGCAACTTGGGCGGAGTACAAGGAAATTCTTCGAGAGCGCTTTCAGGAATTAGACAAGCCAGAGAATTACCTCGTACAATTACACTCGCTGCAGCAAGGAATGGACGAGGGAGTGAAGGCGTTCGCCGTCCGATGTCGAGCGCTGGGAGGAAAAGCGATGCCGAAGGAGGGGTCCGCAGAGGAGATAGCGGGGGCTCGAAAACAGATGGATCGGGCAGTGTTGGCAGCGTTCTTGAACGGGCTCCGAGGAGAGGTAGGGCGGTTTATACGTTACTCCCCGCCCTCATCACTAAAGGAAGCCGAGGAAAAGGCAGCCTTCATGGAACATGAAGACTCAAGGAGGGAGAACCGAGGACCCCCAGAAACAGCACAGGTTTTCGGAATAGACGACAAATTGCCCGAGAAGAGCATCCAACCCTGTAACTGCTCGAGGAAGCCCGAGGTGTACCAAGTCACAGGCTCACAGGAAAGGACGGTGATGTGCTATCGGTGTGGACAACCGGGCCATATGGCACGAGATTGTAAAACTCCACCCGCAAGGGGGCCGCCAGAAACCCGCCGACGTAGAGAATGCTTCAATTGCGGACGCCCCGGCCATTTCGCCAGCCACTGCAGGGCCCAACCCCGCCGTACAACAGCATGCGGCAACCCAAAAGCCTAAGGCTTGCCGAGGTCCCCGACGGCATGCCAAAAGGCAAATGGGGGAGAAGGACGGCTTATCCCGGGAATACAGGGTGCTGGACTGGAAGAGTTGCAGGTCTGGACCACCATCGCGGGGCGAAGGTACTTGCTTATCGTAGATACGGGCGCAGAGATATCCATATTAACCCGACCAGCCCCGAGAATTCCGGTGCAAAGAACAACGGTGCGAGCGAAAAGTGTTACGGGTCAACTGTTGGCGGTACGAGGCAAGCAGTGGTTGGAGTGTGAACTGCTAGGGCAGGTAGTACGGCACGAGTTCGTAATAGCTCCACTGGAGATGCAACAAGACGGCCTTTTAGGGAGGGATTTCCTCACAAAAGCAAATGTCCATATCTACTCAGAGGGAGGGACGCTACATTTGAAGAGCTGTAAACCGACAGAGGAACCCTCGGAAGCTACGGTGAGGACGTTGCAACATCGGCTGGAGTATCCCAGGCAGGACACGAGAGCGAAAGGCAGGGACAACGTTTGGTTACAAAATCTGAAGAGACGCATCGAGCAGCTGGAGCGGAAGTGGGGGCAAAAAGGACCACCGGAGGATAAGGCGGCAGAGAGAGCAGAAGCTCCCCGACGGTTGCCCGGGAAAGGAATGAAGATGAGAGTTCTCGCGAAGGGGGTACAGAAGATTCCTCCGTATAGCGAGGGGTTGATAAAAGCAAGATTGGACAGTGGCCCTATCGACGGTGATCTGCTACTAGAGCCAGTGGAACAACCGCAGCCAGGACTACGCGTGGCACGAATGTTGACGCGAAGCGACGGTCGTGAGGTGTGGGTCCGCGTCATTAATTTGCGGGCAGTGGAGACACAAGTAGATAACAAACAGTTACTGGGAGAGACGGAACTAGTAGACAGTGAGGGGTCGGAAATGACTAGAATCGCCTTCTTAGAATCGACACTAGCCGAGAGACCCAGATGGCGGAGGATCCTCGAAGAGCGTTTATCACATCTACCAAAAGGAGATAAAGAGCTACTGTTAGAGACAATAACCCAGTATGCGGAGGTATTTCGGGACCCGTCGGACGACTCCTTTGGGTGCACATCGAACATTCAACACCGGATTGAGACAGGTAATTCCGCGCCGATAGCAAAACCGCCTTATAGGGTGCCCTACCATCAGAGAAAACACCTACAAGAATTGGTCGACGACATGCTCAAGAAAGGCATCATCACTGAGTCGGACAGCCCGTGGTCCGCTCCAGTGGTGCTGGTTCGAAAGCGTTCTGATAATGGGGAGGTGAAATACCGGTTCTGCACGGATTTCCGAGGACTAAACTCTGTAACTAAGGTTCCGGTCTATCCTCTGCCGAACATCCACGAGACCTTAGAAGGACTGGGTAAAAGCTGCTACTTCTCGACCCTAGACCTCGCGTCAGGTTATCATCAGATCCGAGTAGCCGAAGAGGACCAACCCAAGACCGGGTTCTCCACGCCGAATGGTCATTACCACTACACGAGAATGGCGTTTGAGCTAGCGGGGGCGCCCGCCACTTTTCAGTTGCTGATGGATCGACTTCTGTCCGGGATAAAAGGAAATGCGTGCCTCGTGTACTTGGACGATGTTATAATATTCAGTAAGGATATCCCCGAACATGCGGAACGACTCCGCCAAGTGCTGGAGAAACTTCGGGATGCAAATTTGGCAGTTAACCTCGAAAAATGCCGCTTTGCTCAGACGGAAGTAAAATACCTTGGACATATTGTGGGCACACATGGGGTCGCTACCGACCCCGAGAAGGTGACTGCTATTCGGGAATATAAGACACCGAAATCAGCAAAGGAAGTACGGGCCTTCCTAGGCTTAGTAGGTTATTATCGACGCTTCATCCAGAACTTCGCGGCGGTGGCCAGGCCTTTGACGGCCCTCTTAAAAACAGAAGTGACGTTCGAATGGGGACCGGACCAGCAAGGGGCTTTTGAAACGTTGCGCAATGCGTTGGCGTCCGATACCGTACTGGCGTATCCCGACTTCACCGAGCCCTTCATACTGGCCACGGACGCGTCTGGCACGGCGTTGGGCGCTGTCTTGTCTCAACGTCAGCACGGCCGAGAACGGCCAATCGCATTTGCCAGTCGCCAATTAAATAAATCCGAAGCTAATTATTCAGTCACGGAGCGAGAGCTACTCGCAGTAATATGGGCTACGAAATTGTTCCGCTGTTACCTTCTGGGGCGCCAGTTCACTCTGATTACCGATCACGCGGCTCTCAGGTGGATGCTCAGCCTCCGAGATCCGTCTTCTCGGATGACGCGCTGGGCTCTCCGTCTGTCTGAGTTCGAATACAAAGTAGAGCATAAACCCGGGAAAGATCATCGTAACGCGGACGCCTTGAGTCGAGCGGTAGCCCAGGTCGTGGAATATAACGGCCCCACCGAGGAAAGTACCGCATTCCGACGGGAACAGGAGAAAGAAGAGTGGATAGTGGCTGCTCAGAAAGGCGGGGCTCAACAGGACACGCGAGGACTCTGGTACCTAGTTGAGAAGAACCACAGGCATGGGGAACATTGGCGACTATTGGTGCCGACCAGCCGGGTGAGAGATATTCTGATTGAATGCCACAGTACACCCTGGGCGGGGCACCCAGGAATCGAACGAACTGAAGCTAAGGTAGCCGCCAAGTATTATTGGCCAACCTGGAGGCGTGACATCGAAGAAACTGTAAAGGGGTGTTTGTCGTGCGCAAAAAGGAAATCGCCAACTGGTTTACGAGTTCCGCTCGAACAACCGTTCTTACCCACCCGGCCATTCGAACAGGTCGCGCTAGACATTGTGGGCCCGTTGAGCACGACCAAAGAAGGACATCGATATCTGCTGACCTTTATAGATCTTTTCTCCAGGTATGCCGAAGCCATCCCTTTGAGGGGCCAAACTGCAGAGGAGGTTGCAGGTGCCTTCGTAAAAGAAATCGTGACCCGCCATGGTGCGCCCCGACGGCTTCTGACCGATCAGGGCCGAAATTTTGTGTCTCAGCTTTTCAAGGAGACATGCCGGCTACTGGGAGTACGAAAGCTACAAACAACGCCGTACCACCCAGAGTCTAATGGAATAATCGAACGACTTCACCGAACGTTGACCGCCTCTATCTCCCATTTCGTGGCTCGAGATGGGACGGACTGGAATAGGTGGGTACCTTTCGCGGTGATGGCGTATAGATCGATCCCGCATGCGAGCACGGGCTTCACCCCCAACTATCTGGTGTTCGGTAGAGAGCTGGAGGAACCGACCCCGCTGCGGAACGCGCCGGATGGGATACCCGACACCGAGACGGCGAGAAAAGGGTGGGTCTTGCAGGACAGGTTACAAGAAGCTTTTAAGGAAGCCCGATCCCGGGCAGAGCAATCATGGGCTAAGAGGACGAAAGCCCGGAACAAAGGGAGACAACCCCGAATGTTTGAAGTTGGAGAAAAGGTGTTATTGAATGTGCCGATAGCGAAACCAGGGGACTCTCAGAAGTTCCACTGCCCGTGGGCCGGCCCCTACGTGGTTGAGGCTAGGCTCTCTGCAGTCACCTACCGAATCCGAAGGGAAGATGGGAGCTTCCTCGTGGTTCACATCAACCGACTAAAGAAGACGCCGGTAAGGAGTTGGTTCGAGGATGAGTGCAGCGGGGAGGAGTCGGAAGGACAAGAGGGTTTGGTGGAAGAAGCCAACCAAAAAGAAAACAGAGAGACCTCCGAAAATGTGGAGCTGACGACATGGGATGTAGACGAAGACGAGGATGAGAGGATGGACCCGAGGACGGGCCCAAGAAGAAGGGAGGTGGAAGGCGATGGCGTGGATAAGACAGTACCGTATTGGATGAGAGGGGACGTTGAAGCGGCTAGGGAAGATCAACAACCACCAGCCCGAGAATCGTCCTCGGAGGTTGACAGCCCTCGCGAGAATGATCACACATCTTCCCGGGAATCGTCCCCTGAGGCTGACAACCCTCGCGATGCGGATTGGGAGCCCGGGAGGCCCATTAATACCCCTCCTCGGTCACCGATCCAACTCAGGCCTCGCCGCAGAATCCAGTTAATAAGTTCCGATTAATTGTTGCAGGAGGTATGGGAGAGCCGGACCACTGGGCGCGGGATGGTGTAATTTTCGAGGACGAGGGTGAGGTCATCCTAACGGGAGAGAGATGGAGAATCGTCACGGTACTGAATGTAACGAAAATCGAGGAGGAGGTATCAACATTGCAGGACCAAGTGCGACAAGTCCAAGAACGACTTACAGAAACTCCCGGCATCACGTCTCTGTTGAAGTCGTACCTTGGGGAACTAGGTCAACTGAACAGGATGGTAGAAGAAATGCAAGTCGAGAGCCACTTTCTAAAGGACCTTCTGCCCCCGACGCGAACGCGAAGAGGTTTAGTTGACGTGGGAGGTAAAGTTATTAAAATACTATTCGGGAACCCTGACGCGGACGACCTAGCCGAAACTCAACAAGCGCTAAATGTGCTAGACCGCGAGAATCGAGACCTAGTCCATATCAACCACGATCATATCTCCCTGACCCGACAGCTAAGTGAGAGAGTGGAAGAGTCGAGTGCTCAGCTGAACAGGATGATGTCGAGATGGTCGCAGGCCATGGGTGAGGTCGTAGCGAAAGTAGCCAACTTGACGAACCTGGTTGCGATTCAAGACCAACTCCTGTTCTTGTACATGAACTCATCAAACGTACTTAGGGGCTTAGAGTTAGGGACGGTTAGAGCGAAAATAGAACTACGGTCACTTCATCAAGCGGTATTGTCCCTGGCACGGGGAAGGCTGGATAGCACCCTGTTGTCCCCTATAGAATTAAGTCAAATATTGTCAAAAGTAGCGATTATGTTGCCGCTGCAGCTCCGATTGATTACATTTACTTCCGCCGCAGACATGTATCCTTACTATGATGTCGCCGAGGTCCATGCCACCTCCACACAAGACTGCTTGCAGGTGATAGTCGACCTGCCATTGGCCTCCATGGAAAGAAGGCTC